AAGAGTAATCTGTTTAAAATTTTCCTCCTTTTTGGATTACCTGCCTTCTCTGATTTTTCCCTGGGGAATACATATCCCTCTTATATAAGGAAAATAATAAAAGTTATTCATTAAAATTCATAATGCTCATCTATGGGTGATAGTGAAATTATAGGTAGGTTTTATTTCATCTTTATATTAGATTGAGCCTTATATAAAACTACTGTTTCTGTGGGCAAAAGAAAGACAGCTAAATGTGGACACTTTTATATGATTTCAGGTATTGCTTTTAATATTTTCCAACTATTCTGTAGTTGGTCATGTCACTTGTACACCTATATTTCTCCAAGGCTTCCAGTTAAAAGATTTAAAATCATGGCTCTCATACAGATCTAAAAAAATCATGTGTTCAAGGTTTATGTAACTCATTAGTTAATGAGGGAACCAGCAAGTTGTTCCACCAGATTCCATGGAGAATTCACAGATCACACATAAATGTGCCATCATGAACGCTGAAACACTTACAAACATTTACTGGTCAGTATCTGCAGGGCAAAAATCAATTGCATGCTCACCCGACGAAGTTCATTTGCATTTCTGTCAGTACTAGAATCATTTGTGCCACTGTAAGTTTCTTACGACTTTGGGGTTATCCAGGGGAGCAGAACCAACAGGAGACACGTATTTATTATGAGAAACTGGCTCTCACGATTATGGAGGCTGAGCAGTGCCATGACCGGCCTTCTGCACGGTGAAGACCAGGAGAGCCGCTGGTGCGGCTCCAGTGCAGGTCTGAAGCTCTGAGAGCTGAAGGGCTGAGTCCGAAGCCCAGGGAACCAGGAGCATCGACGTTCGAAGGCAGGAGAGGACAGAGGGCCCGGCGAGGCCGAGAGAAGTCGCCGTTCCTGCTGCCTTCTCGCTCTACTCAAGGCCTCAGCGGGCTGGGTGGGTTTGCGAGGGGTCCCACGCAAACCCACGGGGCAGGGCAGCCTGCTTTACTCAGTCTACTGATGCAAATGCTAATCTCCCTCAGAAACACCCTCACAGACACACCCAGAAACAATGTTTAACCACATATTTGGGATCCTGTGGTCCAGTCAGGTGAACACATAAAATTAACCGTCACAAACTTCGAGTTTGCAATAGCTCAAAGGCAGCTCAGGTCCTATTAAATCAGATGCCCCTATACTCTTCTCTGCCTGTTTTGAAGTTTTTAACCACTTCTCCTGCACCTTTCCTTTGTTTCTGAAGATAAAAATCAACCTCTTTCTTTTTTTAAATCTATCTATCTATCTATCTATCTATCTATTTATTTATTTATTTTTTAAATACATTTGTCTCTGCCTCCCCCCGACCACTTTCCCTTGTCCCCTCCCTCCTTCCCTCCCTCAGCTCTTCCCCTTTGGTTTTGTCCATGAGTCCTTGCTATATGTTTCTTGACTTGCCCCTTCCCTTCCCTTTCCCTGCCGCCCCTGCCCCCCCACTCCTTTCCTCTTGTCTCTGTTGATTTCTTTTCCTTTCAGTAAAAACCAACCTCTTGATTGTATCTTGGCCTGGACCTTGCCTCCGCTCTGGGCTCATCTATGGCCACCCGTGTCCCCATCTCATTCATTCATGTCCCATGGGCCTCTTTCAACTCCGCAGGTGCGCCAGGCTCCTGCCCCCTGGGAGGCTGCGGTGCTGCCTGCATGCACATTGTCGCCTCTGCCCCAGGGCGTGGTCCTCCCTTCTCTGCCCTCCTCCTCATTCCCTCCCAACATGCCCGCCCCCATCTGAACTCAAACCCAGTTTCCTCGGGGGATGTGTCCCCCCCCCGCCCCCCGCCTCCACAGCTTCCCTCGGAGCCTCTACCACAACTTAAACTACAGTGGGAATGTTTTATTTAACTGTGAGCTTTGTGATTTTAAAATAGCAAAGGCTAAAAATATTAGTCAAACCTCTCTTTATGCTCAAACTTTGAAATAATGCACAGCTCTCAAATTCCAACCCCCCCCCCCCCCAAAAAAAACCCTCCTCAGGAAGGCACAGTTTCGGAGCTGCATTTCCAATGACTTATAAATAGTATTTCCACTGTTGCCCTGGGGTGCCATCTCAGGAAGTGGGGAACGATCATCCCCCGGGCCCAGCGTTGGTGAGGGTGGGAGTAGGGGAGACCCTCCACTTGCTACGGAACTTCTGACGGTGGTTCTCATCGTTCTATATATATTGTTGTTAGGCCACTTGTAGGAGGTCAGAATATGCCACCCCTAAACATGCCACTTGGGCATAGGGTTTATTTTAAGTTGAAGATAATTGAGAAACAGCAGACACCAGACAAACTCTCTGCCTTTCCCTCTTGTACCAGGAAGGGCATGAGGAACAGAATCGCTGCAGACTCGGGCCAGCATCTATACAACAGACCTTCCCAAACCGCCCTTATCTACCATTAAACCCCCCACTCCCATCTACCCATCTTCCCACAGTTCGCCACGCCTAACCCCCAAAAGCCTAAACTTCTTTTCCTTTGTCTTGCCACTTCTCTGCGGATTTATTGTCTTAAGATACTGACGATACAAACCCGAGTCCTGACCACCCCTTTGAGTTACTCCTCACGGCTTTTCTCTCCCGTAAATGAGTGCTGCACCTGTTAATGAATTCTTGTTAATCTTTGTCTTTTTTCTTGTCAATCTGTCTTTTGTCAGTTTCCTTTTCAGGGCCCAAGACACAAACCCAAGGAGCGTAGAGGAAGTTATTTTCTCTCCAACGCGCTCTTTGTTGTATAACAAACCTTTCTGGAAGCTCTGACAACAGGCTTTGGTTGCAGCGCGGAGGCTGAGACTGGGGCTGAGCATCTCTGGGCAAACCAGATGTGACACGGCGCCCTGAAGGCCAGTCCTTGTGCCGCCCAGGGCTGACCGACCGGCCGATAGTCTGAACATGAGGACTGAAACTGAGAAAATAAAAAAAGCACAAGGGCAAAAATGAATTCTACTGGCCTTAGATTTTTATTCTCGTAGCTCTTATTCCAAAATCATTTGAGTTTTGAATTATGCGAGGCCTTCAGGGACACCTGAAGAGGATGCTATGACCCTGTAGTAGATTTGTAACATTATGGGACTAATACATCGACTCCCCAAGTTTCGGTTTTCCTCACCATTTTCCTGACCAGCTCCTAGCATAGGGCTTGGTAGGGAAGGAAAAAAATTTCCTCTACCCTTTTAAGTTCAGGGGCTGGGGCCTGAAGGTCAGATTAACAGGAGAAAAAGGCTTATTTTGCACACATATAGGAGCCAACAAAAAAAGCGCCTGGCTTATTAAGTGGCTAAAGGCTTATATGCCTAATTTAGTATAGTAAAGGGAAGCGGGGAGAACAGGCTTCTTATGGGATGAACACATAGGTTTCTCTGAAAAAGATAAGTAGATTTTTAGGAGAACAGGTGGGAGATATGAAAGTTCATGGGATGTTTGTCTATGAGGGGGGGATTCCCCCCAAACCAGAATTTATTTATAAAAAATTTTGCATTCTTACAAGGTTAAACTTCAGCCACCTTCAAACTACTCTCCATTTGATGCAATATCTATCGAGACGATTTTTCCCACTGCTCAAAACATTTTTTGAACTCGTCGATTTTGATGCCTTTTAGTGCTTCTGCTGTTTTTTGTTTCACTTCTTCCACATCAGCAAATGTTTCCCTTTGAGGACTTTTTTCGTCCGGGGAAACAGACAAAAAAACATTGTGCAGAGTGAGATCAAGTGAATAGGGAGGGTGGAGCATGGGGGTCATGCCGTTTTTGGTCAAAAACTGCCGAACACTCAGTGCGGTGTAGGCAGGTGCGCTTGTAAATCACCCAGCATGCAATGGCCAAATGCGTTGGAAGAGTCTTCAAAACAATTCACTGACGTCGAACGCAGCCTCTCACAACAATGCCGGCTGGTACACTGATCCAGACGGGTTCCTAGGACATTCTCCTAGAAGGGGCCTGCACTCTAGAACATAATTCCGGGGTTTCTTTGGGTCCCCCCTTGTTCATAGGTACCAGTGGTCTTTCCACCTTCAGAATCATAAACTCCCTGGAGAAGGGATGTGGAATGGGTTTTATTTGCGTTTTCCCTTCTGGGGTAGGTGCGCCGTGGAGAAGAATTTGGGGCCGTCTTAATTCTCCAAATTGCTGCTGCAAGTCAGAAAAGGGAAGCTCTGAAGTGTTTTTTTTTTCTTTTCTTTTCATCTGTTGAATCTCAAATGTCTTCAGCTTAAAATACTCTATGTCAAAATGACTCTGGGGTGCAGATTCTGGTGCCTTCAGTGGGAAGGAACAGCGTTCCCTCGTTCATTTACTTCAGGGTCTCACTCTACATAGATGATCCTCATTTTCTGTTGGTGCTGATTCTCCACAGACGCCCTTGAGCCTGAGTCCCCCTGACAAGATTAGAATGTAATGGGGGAGAAGCCAGGTACTGAAAAAGAGACGTACAAGAAAGGACAGCTCGGAAAAAGAGAGGACGGTTCAACGCAGTGCGGTGCAACGGGGTTTTGGACAATGGGATTTTCCCCAGAAAGTGTCAAAGCCCTCGGAAAAGCCACGCTCCTTTGTTTATTCCTGGGGGGCTGGGTGTGGGGCTTCGGCGCCACAGAAAACCTCTTAACAGTCCTGTGCAAATGCTCCGCAGGAAACGCGGATTCACCCCTCAAGGTGGCAACATTCCAGAGTGCTGCACCCCAAGGACTCTTTTTTTCTTCTTTCACAAAGAACCTGTTCTTGCGGATGTGGAAGTGCCTGGCAGGGAGAAGGAACCGGCTTCACCAGCCGCTGGGCCTGCGCCAGAGGCCAGGGGAGCAAGGCTGGGCGGGCCCGCCAGCCTCCAGCGGGTGGGAGAGGGCGGCCGGCCCGGACGGCCTTAGCTCCGCAGGGCGGGAGAAAGGCCCAGAGGAGGGACAGGGACGGGAGGCCGGGCCGGAGGTCAGCCCTGGCCCTCGGCCTTGGCATTCCCAGGCCTCTGCCGGACTTCCTGGGCTGCTGTTTGGGGCTGGCTAATGATTAACAGGAAATATGCGGGGCTGCACGCACCTCCAGGGAGTGAGGGCCTGTGGCTGGCGGAGGCCACCTCCGTGTTTAGAGCCTGGCCTATGACGTGACAGACCGTTTCATTAGGGACTTCCTGTTAGCTGCCGAGGTCGGGTCAGGACTCTCTCGTGGCCGGATTGAATTTGTTCCTGTGTTTGTGCGGAGAGAGGACGGAGGCCAAGAAGCCTTCTGGAAACCGAGAACCTTCCCTGAAGCCCGGACGAGAAGACCTACCTGCCGGAGGTAAGACAGCTCCTGACAGGTGTTTGTGTAGGCCCGGGGGGTGGGGGCGGGGGTGGGGTGGGGTGGGGATTCCCCGCAGCTCCCGGGTCTCCTCCAGGGAGCGCGGGCCCTCCAGCTGTCCTCCTGGGGAAGGTGTGGGCCGTCAAGACATATTGTGGTTCCCAACTTGTCCAAAGTTAAAAATTAAAAGGGCGGCCGCTCTCAGAGAGTGGGAATTTGAGCCGATTTCTAATCAAGCAAGTGTCTCTTTCACAGTGAGCTACTCTCAGGGATGTGTTGAAAGCCGACACTGGGCTGGAATTTGGGAGGTCAGGATTCAAATGCTGGAAAATTACCGAGACTCATGTTGTTCATCAGACCGTCTTTTAAATGGCATTTGATTGAACGCCCGATGAGAAGGCCTATGCAGAGGGGAGCTGCTCTGAGGTTTCTGGAAGCTCTAAGGCTGCCCTAAGTCTGGCAGGCGGTGCCGGGGCTCCTCCCAATGTCGGGCACACAGAGCTGGGGTGCTGAGAGAACCGGGGCGTCCGTGCCCTCTCGAAGGCGTGGCGGCCCGTTCCCACGCACCGTGCAAAGCACTTCTTTCTCTTTGGGTTCGAGATTCCTGATTTCAAGCTGTTTCCAAGAACCCAGAGAAAAGGATTTGTGCGTGGGGTCTTCAGGTGAGATGATCAAATTCAGCAGCTCTCTCCCTGGGACGGCCAGCTTGGTGGGCCCAGACTGTCCGAGTGCTTGGGCGTTCTCGGGGCATTAAGGAACTGTCTATTTGGCGGTTAAGTCCTGTCTATTTAATATAATTTAATAAGATTTAAGATTTAAAAGAGAAGATGGGAGTCTTTCAGCTAGAGGTAGGTAATCCAAGTCCTCCACATTGAAATGAATGAGAAGTTAAAATTCAGGGACCCATCAGACTACACTATAAAGATAGTAACTTGTGAATGACCTGGCCTAGGTCCCGGTGTAATTAAAGTGGCTTGTCTGATTTCAGTTCAGACTTGGAATGGGCTTACAGTTCCTTCTGCACACACCCTTCCAATCCTGACCCCTCGCAAACCCACGTCTGTAGCTCCTGCCGTGACCCCACCCCGCTTGTCCTGGGTTCTGCTGGCTTGTTAGAAGTGGGGTCTCCTACGAAGAACAAGTGAGAATGGTGCGTGACGATGGTGGCGGAATGAAGCATTTAATAAGCTGTCATCAGTTCTTAGTCTGCATCCTGACTCATGCTCCTTATCAGCGACTCCACGAATTTCTTCGTGACCTTTGGCTATTGCCCAGGTTCCGCAGTGCTGCGTCCATACTGCTCATTTATTGCTTTTGGTTAAATATGTCACCTTTTATGACTGCACAGCTCAATTTCTTTTTCATCCTCTGCTGGGGTCTAGCATTCTAGACGATGGGTAGTGATTGACGTGCCAAATTGTGTTCCTTGAACCTTGAAAATTGGTAAACGATTTGATTGGGGATCTTGAACCGATCTCAGGAGGCCGTGACTTCAGTCCGGTGGCTGCGCTCCTTGTCGCTGAGGCGTACGGTTTGTTTAGGGGTTTGCTGAGTCTGGTTCAGTTTACAGCGAGGGGCGGGGCCCCGCAGCGGAGGGGCGCTCCAGCGCCGACACTCTGAACCTCGCCCGCGGACACACGCACTTACGGTTTAGCAAACACACGCTGGCTTCTGCTTTCCAGAGTCATCGGAAAACCGAGGGGTGGAAACCCAGCTTCTGTGACTATCCCGTTAACACACTGGCATGTAACAGGTGGCTTGGCCCGAGCATCGTTGAGAACCACCGCGCTGCGGCTCTGTTTATCTCTGCCCCTTGCGGGGGGCGCGTTCCACAGACTTCGGTGAGGCAGATATTTCCCGGTGCCCATTTCAGGTCTTGTATCTGGGCCTGGGGGTCTGTTCCCTTCGGCCTGTAAGAGAGGAAAGGGACCGGAGCCCTGGAGGCCGGTGTCAGCAGACTGCAAAAATCCCCCGTGGGGCTCTGATGGAACCCGGCGCCCCATGTTCTGGAGGGTCGTGTGGCTCCCCCAGCACAGCTGTGCAATCCGGGTGATGCCAGAGACCAAGGGGAAGCCACCCCGGTCACTAGGTTCCACATGGTGGTGGTTGAAGACCATCTCAAATAGAGACCCTTTCTGGAGGTTGGGAAGCTGGTTTTGTTTTGTTTTTTCCTTTCCTTTTTTTTTTTTTTTGTAGCTAGTCCATGATACGTTTGGCAGGTGATTTCGCCCTAAATGCTTCAGTGAGATCAAGCAGTGCTGGTGACTGCCTTGGATAGGCCTGTCTTTGGAGAAGGGAACAATAAAGAGAAAAAACCCACAGGGATGGAGGGTGAGCCGTAGGGTGACCAGAGAGCAAAGGGGTTGAGAGGGAGGGCCGAGAGGCGCACACGGCAGGACCCCCGCGTGCTGCCGGGGGCTGGTAAGACCTTACTCTGCCTGCCCTCAACCTCCCTGACCTCTGACTTCTCCCCTGCCACTCACCCCTCCCTCTGCCCTGGCCCCAGAGCCCCTGCTGCAGTTCTGCAAATGTGCCAGTCACGAACCCACCCCAGGGCCTTGGCACCGGCTGTTTCTCTGCCTGGGCAGCTCTCCTGCCGGTGCCCACGTTGCGTCGCCTCTGCTCCTTCCCCGTTCAGAGAACACCTCCTCGGGGAGTCTTCCTCTGGCCTCCCTGCTTCAGGTGATATCGAGCCCTCCTCCCCACCACCCCCCGCACATGTTCCCCTGTCTATTTTTCTCATGCCTCTTGCTGCCTTCTAACAGCCTTACGATCCATTTCTTCATTTTGTTGCCTGTTTTCCCTTTTGAGCATGTGAAGCTGTGTGCAGGATTTTCTCTTCCCAGTGACTGAAGCACTGGGGTTGAAGTGAACAGCTGTGAGCCCAGGCGGCTCCGCCGTGGTCAGTAGCTCAGTGGGGATGGTGTACCGCAGGCATCCCATAATTTATACATGGGGTGGGGAGGAAGATCATGGACTGCAGTGATTCTCAAACTTGAACACGTGCCAGAACTGAACCTGGTTTGGACAGGTTGCCAGGCTCACCGCCGGAGTCTCTGGTGCAGCAGGTCTGGGGGAGGGGGGGGTCAAGCATTTGGTTTTCTAACGAGTTCCCAGGTGAGGCTGGTGCCCAGACCACACTGACAAGCGCTGGCTCCTCTGTCCTCGGACACGTGGGCTGGTTGGGGCTCCGGTAGCTCTTTGGGATAGACGCTCATCAGGGAGAGACTGTTACCTGCTTGCTTTGTTTTCCCAGGTGAGGAGGAACATGCGCAGATGGAAGGCAGCTGGCGAGCTTTCCTGGCCGCGCTGGTCGTCGTGGCTGGCCTCCCAGGTAGGGTCGCAGGAACTTGGTGGCCTGCACCTGGGCTTCCACCTGGAGAGGGCGTGAGGGAGCCCAGAGGAGGCCGCTGGTGCACGTGGCTGCCAGCAGGTTGTTCCTCAGGCACTTCCCTCCGTGTCCCCTCCCCACCTCGGGGTCTCTGCAGTGGCGTCCACTTCCTGCCACGTTGACGCAGCTCCAGGAGCGGTTCTCCAGGCACAGCGGACCCCACCACTTCCCTTCCCTGGGGTTCGCGTGTCCTGGCCATTGGCCTCCGGTGCCTGACTCCGTGCCCCGTCCCTCTTCTGTTTCTGTCTGGTCTTTGAGGAAGGCTGACTCAGGTGTCGCCTCCTCCATGAAGCCTTCCTGGCCTGCGGTTTCCAGGGCGACAGTCTCAGTTTCCGTAGTGACAGGGTGAGGGGCTGTCAACAGCCCCTCCTCACTCTGGACCTCTCCAGGGTGCCGGCCGCAATGGCCTCCAGGCTGTCCCTGGCCGGGGTCCCCAGGTCAGACTTTGCTTTGCAGAGAGGAAGCGTGTAGACCTCAGGGGCCTTGGGGTGGCTGTAGTTTGCACCCTGAGCTCTGTTTTGACCCTGTCTTGCCTCCATTTCATGGCTTCAGGTGTGTGTGCCTTGTTTCCTGGCTAGATTTTAACTCCCTCAGGGTGGTTATCCCGTGCTCCTTACTGCAGCGGTTTTGAGGCCTTGTGGTGAAGAAAAATCTACAGATAGGAAAGTGCACAGTCATGACGGCACAGCTTGATGAGTTATCACAAGCTGAACACCTTCGTGTATCCACAATAAGACCAAGGACACGCGATGGAGGTTTCCTTCCTGCTCTTCCCAAGGGGACCGTTATCCTGACTTCTAACTGCAGAGATGTGCTCTGCTGGTTTTGTACTTTATACATAAAGAACTCTATTCCCGATGGCTACATAACATTTTTAAAAATGATTTTATTTATTTATTTTTTAGAGAGAGGAGAAGTGAGGGAGAGAAACATCAATGTGTGGTTGCGTCTCTTGTGCCCCCAACTGGGGACCTGGCCTGCAACCCAGGCATGTTCCCTGACTGGGAATCGAACCAGCGACCCTTTGGTTTGCAGGCCAGCACTCAATCCGCTGAGCCACACCAGCCAGGGCTACATGATGTTTTTTAAAACTCTGGCCATGACAGCATCAAAAAAATAAAATGAAGTGAACTAGAACTAGAAGAGGGACCATCAGAGTGTGTTACGTGCAGTGAGGACCATTTCATACGTTTTGATTTTGGGTTGTTTGCACATGAAGTCTGGGCACCGGGCTGTGGAGTTAACATGTATTTGGAGACAGAGATGTTTGAAAGCCCCAGCCCGGTAGTACACGGTGCTCGGTGTTTGTAAACACTGAGGCGCTTGATAACATTCATTTGCAGAGTGGAGAGGAACACACCGCCCCTGCTGTGCAGAGCCCCGGGACGTGTGTGGCTGGCAACGTATTGCTGTGTTAACATGCGCCTGTTTAAGGTCTTTGCCTTAAATGATGAGAATATTTAAACAAAGTCCGGGGCGTGGAGGTGGGGTGTAAGGGAGGGCGCTGCCCATACTGGTGTGTTGAGAAGGTCCCTCTCACTGACACGTGGAGAGCAGTTTTGGGCGGTGGTGGCGGCGCAGCAACGGTGCTGGCACCTCGTGCCGTCCTCAGCAGGACTCAGCAGGAAGCTCAGAGCCCTCCGGACGCCCGCCCTCCCTCCCTCCCGCTCGGTTTCCTTCGGCCGGTCCCAGCCCTGCAGGAGGCGAGCGGATTCCCACTCTCTCCTCCGGAGCCGCCCCACAGAGCACTTCTCTCCCTCCCTCCAAGATGCTTCCCGTTCTTGTCTGTGACTTTTCATCCCCTTATTCATTCCCCAGGTTAAGTGAGAGAGGGGAGAAGGTGAGGGTCTTCAGGTGCAGTGAGAGGAGCTGGAGAAGAGGACAGTGGGGAAATAGAGGGGTCCACATGCCCCCCACCACACCAGGGAGGCAACCGGCTGCTATTCCGGGAAGCTGAGAAAAAGCCGTTGCGGAAGAACAGGACTTAGGTTCAGGATCAACTTATGGAGGGCAAGTGGGAGCCACGGAAGCTGCCAACGTGCCGCGGGATGACTGGTTTCAGTTTTGCCGATGGAAGGAGGCAGCGAGTAGAGGAGAAGCTTTGCAGTCATGGTGAATAAGTATCCTGCAAGTGGATAACCCCCCCCCCCGCCCCCCGGGGCAGGGGACGGGGAGAACCTGGTGTTGGGTGACCACTGGAGCTGGTAGCCATGGGAGGTTCCTGGGAGGGGAACACCGATCTTTGCCTGGGCTCTGCCCCTCGCTTGCCTTTTTGCTCTACAAAGTGAAAGGGAGAGCAAAGGGGAGAGGGAGGCTTCGGCTGAGATAGGTGACTTTGATTAAAGGTCTTATTTACCATTTTCTCATATTTGTGCTGGGTGGGGCAGGGTTATGCACAGAACCAGCTGATAGGATAGAGGAGCAGGGAGAATGAGGTTTCAGGACCACAGGTTTCCAGAAAGGCAGCTTCTGAGTCACAAGGAGGAGCCGGAGGGGCATTCACTGACAGCGCGAGTGGAGACCGCAGGTTCCATTGTCGGGGCCGTGTTGTGCTTAGGGTTTGGTGCCTCCCGTTTCAGTCAAAGGTCATGTGCAAACTTAAAGAGCTGCCATTTGGTACAGGTCCTTCCCTCCCTCTCTCCCCTCCTCCCTTCCTCCCTCCCTCCCTCCCTCCCTCCCACCCACCACCATAGCTGCAAAGTAAAGCACGCAGCCTTTGTGTTTCCTTGGTCACAGTGCAAGTCCGCAGGATATTTGAGGACAGGTGTGGTGCGAACAGGGTCTGGACTGAAATAATGCACCTAACCTGCCTCCCACCAGACAGGGAAGAGACCATGCTCTCAAATGGTTACTCGTTGCTGGTTCTGCTGCACTTGCAAGCCTGGGTCTCACCCGTCCCTGCAGCCCTGCACCTGGCCCTGTGGCTCTGTCCCGTGAAGGCCCACGACCTGAGTCAGGAGCGGGAAGAGCGTTGTTTTCATGGTGTGGAGCATGAGAGCACGTCCGTCTTTCCCCTGGGTGTAAACTTGGCTGTGTCTTTTCTTTTGTCCTTCTGAAGGTGCAGTTCAGGCTCGTGGAAAGAGCCTGGTTGGCACAGCAGCTGCGGCTTCCCTGGGGAACCATTTCTGACTTCCCTTCCTCTGGCTTTTTCCTTTTATAAAATCCCAGATCAAAGGGGTCCTGGATCTGAGCGATGTGCTCAGACAATTGGAGTTGTTATTTAAGTTACATTTATCTTTTTGCTATCACGCGCAGAGGCGAAGGAAAGACTGGAGAACAGTCAACATGTTTACCCAAACACAGGAGTAGCCTCAGTTACCTCTGACCTTCCCTCAGTTTTGCCTCTTTGGAGCCAGTGGCCCTTGCTTGCCCCTGCTTGCCTCTCCGCCTAGTCCTGCTGGGCTCGGGACCCTGTCTGTGCTGTGGTTCATTCTCTGCCGTTGTCTGAGACCATTTAATACATGCGCCCCACATGCAACGATGCATTCCCACAGTGCATTCTGGGTACTTAGGTGAAGTATTGCTGTGTTAACATGCGTCCACCTGTGTGCTTTTTTTTTCCCCTAGAAACCTTTAGGGCTGCAATGAAATTCTTTTAGAACCCGCAACTGGACCTCAGAAGGTTGGAAGGAAAAAGGGGTTGCTGCTGCGTTTATTTGGGGACTAAACGTATATGGCGGGCTACCTGGTCCACCCAGGGGGATAATACAAGTCCACAATGTGGCAGGTGCAGGGTCTGCCAGGGTGGCTTTCTTCTGCTCCAAGCCCTGAGTGAGATGAGAGGGGAGGGGACGGAAAGGAGGGGGAATTCCGAGTGGGAAGCCACCACTGTGGTCACGAGTCCTGGGATGTTGCTGGTCTTCATTTTCTCAGCAGGGGAGCGTAGGCAGTGGAAGATGGAATAATGATCTTGAAGACCATCCATTGCCATACTTTGAATTATTATGACCAATGTAGGAAAGTCTGGGAAAACCCTGGCCACCAAGGGTGATAAAAAAATCAGTGCCCAGTGACCCAAAGATTCCTTGAGTTCTCCAGGTGCAGAACATGCTCCGGGTCAAGTGGTCATGACTGAGTTCACGTGAGCTGCAAGAGTCCCCGATCCGCTCCACGGGGAGACCGGTCAGAACTGTCATCCCAGTTAAAACCAGTGTCAGAGTGTCCCGGGTGAGCGAAGGGCAGAATGTTGTGGAAAGTGGAGTGGAAAAAATGTTACTGTTATCTATGATTATCTCGGCTCATCTCGTAGGTCGGTCCCTTCCTGCAGGTCGCGTGATAGCACGCTTCCACGGAATGCCGGGGCGTCATGTGAGGGGCTTCAGAGGGACTGTCCTATTTGGTTCTTGAAACAAGTCACTGTGGTGCTAGTGTCTCTGTTTTGCAGCCGAAGACGGTAGGGCGTGGGGAAGTGGAGATAACTTGCCCGGTGAGCCGGGGCCAAAGCTCTGGAGTCTGAGGCCTTACACTCTAGCAGGAGTGTCCAACCCATGGCCCGTGGCCCACACGTGGCCCAGGATGGCTATGAATGCCGACTGACACAAAACCGTAAATTTACTTAAAACATTATGAGATATTTTGTTTTCATTAGTGTTTGTGTGTTCAATGTGTGGCCCAGAGATGCCAAAAGGTTGGACACCCCTATAGGGTGTTGAATTTTAATCCCAACACTGGATGTGGTGAGACTTTCTAGGGGCTGCCAAATGCATCCCTTGAGCGTTCTCACGAAGGGATCTAACTCCCTACGTCTTTCTACCCCTCCTCCTTTTCTCTGTCTCTGGTCCGTAGGAGGAGGGGCATGATCCCAATGACAGCACCGTCTCCTTGCCACTTTGGGACTGACTTTTTATCACTCCTTGGCAGTGTACTCAGGACCCAGCTTTCATCTCTCTCCAGCTGTATTCCTTAAATCCTCCAGCCACAGACACTGTGTGAAGCACCCCGTGTGGGGGCTCGCAGGGTGCAGGGGGCGTGCATGGGTCGTGATCGCAGCCTGCTGGGGTCCCCATTCTCTTTGTAAAGACAAGGTACTCCACTGTCCCCTCTAAGCCCTGGAAGAAGGCCCTCCTCATTTCACCAGGAGGAAAAATGCTCTCTTCATAGCGAGGCTGAAAAATTTCCTTACAGGGACAGAACTGGGCTGGTGGTGGCTCTCTGGGCCAAGCGGAGGTCAGATACCTAGGGTGACATCCTGCAGGCAGGGGAGGAGAAGCACTGTGTCCTCGCTGCCAACCCAGCCGAGATGCTGAGCGCTGTGGAGGTAGGGGAGGGATGTGGAAAGGAGGGATGGCGTGGCTTCCCGTCCCCTGGAAGCTCCCAGTCTTCTGGGGAGACCCAGGGTGGGCATCAGTGTGACATGGAGCCTGGACCACGGGACGGTCACTCAGGGGCCCCGACTTGTATACAGAAGGGTTAGACTTTACGGTGGATCAATACAGATTCATTCACTTACTTGGAAAATGGGTTGTCTTTTAGCTTCTGGATCCAGCTACCAAATCATAGAAGGGCCCAGGAATGCCACGGTGCTGGTGGGCGGGGAGGCCCACTTCAACTGCACCGTCTCGCAGGGCTGGCGACTCATCATGTGGGCCCTGGAGGGCACCGTGGTCCTGAGCGTCACTCCCAAGGAGCCCATCATCACCAGCGACCGCTTCACCTCCGCGAGCTATGAGGAGGGCGGTAACTTCATCTCGGAAATGATAATCCACGATGTGAGATTCAGCGATGCCGGACGCGTCAAGTGCAGCCTCCAGAACAGTGGAATTGAGGGATCCGCTTTCCTTTCCGTCCAAGGTGCGTGTGCGTCAATGGCCCAGGGCGGCGCTCGGAGCCCATTGGGTTACAGGTCAGAGAAATGGACGGCACCTTCTGAAGTTCATGACCAGTGTGATGACGTCTGGGACACCTTCAGTTGGTGTCACACTTAGGATTATTCTGAACTGACGAGTGTTAGTGGTTTTGTTATTTGTGTATTTCTCTCCCGCCTTCCTCACTGACCCTCCTTCTACTTCCTTCCATTCTGTTTCTCTCCCTCTCTCCTTCCATCTTTCCATGTCTATGGTTAAGATTTTTAAAGACAGGTTTTTAATCACTTCCCATCTCATCTATTTTGGTACCTAATCGTTTTTCTGGAAACACATCCTGGAAGAGTTCTGGGGCCAGTTGCTGTCACTTGTCTATGATTTAGAGAGAGTTGACGGTCGCTGCCCCGTGCCCCGTTTTTCATATGCTTGACTCCATTTCTTTGTCTCACATTTTTATTTTTACGTCACTTTGACACCTTTACCAACTTTGAATTACGCTTTAACTTGTTCCTTTTACAGCCCCACCTCCAGTGGTTCTTACAGACAAAGGTGTGTCAAGTGTTTTAGAGAAAAGAAAAGAGTAAACAAAAATGATAAAAATGGATAACTTATTTTTCATTTCCAAAGCTAATTTTTAGGTGCTGAAGATCGTGTTACTTAGTAAAAAAATAAAAGGATGATTTATAAGGATTCAGAACACCTTTATTAAAGTTTAATCACCTTGCATTCCTTAAAAATGCACTTACATACTATTTCTAGATCCATTGGAACTAGCTTTCTACAGCAGCATCTTTTAAAACAGACCGCATTGTGCCTTTGAAGTTTTTTCCACTTTTATTTATTTGCTTGTCTAGGAGACATTTCCAAAGATTTGGGCCATATTCATGCTGCTTTCAAATTAAATTGAATAACATTTGGTGCAGCTCCATGCCTACCTACTTCTACTTGCATTTTTTAATTTAGCAGGATCATTGTGTCTTTACTTTATGTGTCTTTATGTGGCTTAATTAGGGGCCCAATGGTATTTTGTGATGTTAAGTGATTTTGGGAAGCTACCCGGGTTACTGGCCTAGTCTGCGTGACCAGATTCTTCTTATAATAATTTGCGGTATAAGGGCAAGAACACCGGAAAACGAGTCAAAGACATGAGTCTGGTTTTGCTGTCATCAGGTACCCACCTCGGTGACGCCTGAATCGGTTCAATTTCTCCATCTTTAGAGTTGGGACAAGACTCCTCTCCCCCCCTCGCAGGGCGACTGTGAGGATCGGATGATGAAATGACAAGCATGGTTTGAAGACGCCGGGACCGGGGTGGCCTGGCGGCTAACAGCTCTCGGGAGCCTGAGCGCCGGGTTCAGGCGCCGGCTTTGTTGCTGACTAACTCTGTGACAGTGGACATGCCACCTAAGGGCCTCGTTTCCTCGTTACAGGGCTGTGGTGAGAGCAGATGAGTAAGGCTGTGAGTCTTTAGAACAGCACCTGGCTCATGGCTGTCCCCAGATAGTCATTTGCTATCATTGACTGAATCCTCAATAGGGCACCCACTGTGTTAGGCCTTCAGGGGGGACTCAGAGATCAGTAGACTAGGACACGGTCCCGCCCTCTAGAACCCAACGGGAAGAGCAGTAATGCAGGCGCAGGAGTAGCAGTGGTGCATCCAGAGGCTGGCACGTGCATGGGCGGAGGGGCAGCTCAGGTTCAAATTGGGGAGGGGGACGAGAGATCAGCAGCCTTCGAGGGTGACTCCACAGAGAAGGCGCCCCTTGAGATGTGTGTCAAAGGTCTGTGGGGGATAGGCAACATCAGGAGGCGAGGGAGGACGAGGGCCCCCCGGATCAAGGAGCCACGACCAAAGCATGGCTTGTTGTCACTGTGTTTATGGCCTATAAAATTCACAAATCCGTGTGGTTTTATAGCATCTCTTCCCCAAGCTGCAGATCTGTAAAGTGTCTTCAGACATGCATTCTTATAAGCTAATACTTACTGTATCTTTTGGTTTTAAAAGAAATAGAAGGAGAATTGTCTCGGGAAATTAAAATCTTCCCCAACCAAGGTCCCGAGGAAGAACCCTGCAAAGCAGGATGGAATTCTATCGTTTTACCCTGGTTCCACTGAGCGATATATTCCATGGGTCCAAACATCACTCTTTTTTTAGAGGGACAAGTGTTCTCTGAGCAACAGGGTTTCTTTCAAGGGAGAAGAATCTTGAAAAAAGAGGAAACATCCACTATATCTTGAAAGTGAATTATCCAAAGACCATTTTGTTCTCTTTGAGTATCAACAAGAAAAATAAAGAGAACTTATATAACTCCATAGCGAGTCATCCAAAAATCTACGTAAAATGTCCTAGCTATCACCTTATATAACATATCATGCTCCTGGCTGACCTTCCAGAGAGCCAATGGGAAAAGCTGAATCACAAACGCACCCAGAAAAGAAATTGCTCCATTCAGACTGCTGCACGCGCCCAATCCGCCAATGAACCGCCACCAACCTCTAGACCTCTTGTGTGCCGATGGCCAATTTCTTCTGTTGGTAACCGAACCAGTGCCATCGCTCGGGTTTCTGTCACCTTAAACCTCTCCAACCAACAAAACAACGAACAAAGCAAAAAAGAACAGAGACAAAAAACCCTTTGGCCTGAAGGGACAAATCTGGCGCCCTCTCACTGTTGCAGGTACAGCAGTCCTGGACCTGGCAAAGGTGCCCTGCTCCCTCCGAGGGTCTCTTCAGGAAAGGGGACCTCGGAAAGCTGACTATTCTGAGTAAGCGGAGCTTTCCGAGTGGATCCAGGCCAGTCTAGGCTGGGAACTCCCAGGTGTCCCCCAGACCCTTTCGAGGGGACCCGCGTGGCCGTGACTGTTTTCAGGACAATACTAAGATATCAGTTGCCATTGCCACTTGTTCTCACCGGTGAACAAGGAGTTTTCCACTGCATGCTGGAGCAGTCTGCATTACTCAGTGGTCTGGTGATTTGCACAGGACTGATGCATAAGAGTAAACAGAGCCATTCAAAGAGCCAGAGAGAGCAATGGATTTTAACCTAACAGACAATGAACATTTCTTTTTATAGTTCCAAATTCTACAGGGCCACACACCTTTAAGAAGCCCACTGGTCAAGTTTTGGTATAGTATCAAAGAATATCCATGATTACCTAAAAAGCATGTGAAAGGCTCCTCACCCTTTCAACTATATAGCCCTGTGAAGTCAGATTTCCTTTATAACCTTTAAATGAAACAATATATCGCAACATATTGAATGCAGAAGAAGATATGAGCATCCAGCCAGAGATGAAAGAGATTTGCATAAATATAAAACAATATCGCTCTTCTTACTAATTAATTTTGGTTTAAGATCTAGGTATTTTTTTTTTATAAAACTGTGAATCTATATTAATATGTAATGACTGATTGTTATTTTTGAATTTCTAAAAATAAACATTCAATTCTAATTGCAAACATGGTAAGCCTTGGTAGCTATAACCCACATAAACCAAAGGCCTCCGGCGTCCTCACTGATTTGTAAGAGTGGATGAGGTGTGGAAACCTAAGGACTGAAAACCACTGCTCTAGACGAAGCACCTCCTTCCCCGGGAGAAAGTAGCCTGAAAATCTCAGGGACTTGCTCACATGATGCCGACTCTGTGGGAAAGCCAGGGGCTGGGGGCAGAGGTTTTGATTTGTGGTCCGGTGTTCTTTCCATTATATCACGCAGCTGGGTGTTCTGAATATTTTAATTGGAACGTTGTAATGTATCTATGTTTCGGGAAGGCTGTGTCTTTACCGGGGGCCTCAGGTGATTCTCGGAGCGTCAGCAGCACCAGTGTCATTTGCAGGTGGGCCATTAACGATGTGACCCCTGGCACGTGCGCGTTCGGTCGTCCTTGGCGACAGCTTGTCAATAGTTTACCTGAGCAATATTTTCTGATATGTGCTTGAGGATAGTTATTTCTTTAATTCCATTGGGTTTGATTTCGATTTATTACCCTTTTTGCTTGGGCTCCAGGGCAGCCCAGGACAACTTTGGGGACTGTATAGCTCCCACGGCAGGCACAGCGGTCCTCCCTTCCCCGTGCAATTTATATTCCCCTGGATCCTGATTTTTACCCATTTCTATGGAATTACATGTTTTCCGGTGAACGATCCCACCTTTTTCTGTGGGCCTGGGAAGTACAAATAAGACAAAGATACAACCTGAATTAAGGTTCCCCGCTACAGACACAGCCAGTTTGGGGTTAAGGGGGTAGCACTCATGCACTGTGATCTGAAGGAAAATGGAAGGCAACCTGGAACAGGGAGGCGTGGTCATTCCTTCAGAATGTTTCTCTTTTCTTCTTCAGTTGTGGGGACGTTGCTTACCCCCAGTGACAGTCTTGTAGTCATTGAGGATGAACCTTGTAATGTGACTTGCCGAGCGGTGGGCTGGACCCCGCTCCCCGATCTTTGCTGGGAGATTGGCGCTCCAGTGAGTCATTCGAGCTATTACTCCGTCCCGGAGCCGGACGACCTTCAAAGTGCGCTGAGTGTCCTGGCTCTGACGCCGCAGGGCAATGGGACTTTGACTTGTGTGGCTAAAATGAAGGGGCTGCAAGTCCGCGATTCTCTCACAATAAATCTTACTGTGGTTCCTCCTCCGATGGGTAAGTGAAGACTTTTTGCTTTCTGTAAAGTATATTATGATTGCATGCTTATTTTTATATGTTGTGCTGCCTCCTCTTAATGTCTAGGAAAATCCTACGGCGATCTTGATTTCAGGTGGGAATGGCAATGGAGCAAAATTACTTCCCCTGCCAGCTTAATGGCCCCGCAATGTCACCTGATTTTAAAATCCCATCTTCAAGTTTTTCTCCCTTTCTACTTACATGTGAAGATCATTAAGAATCTTGACAATTAGTGGCATGAAACAGCATCAAGTTGAGAGATCAATACTTGAATTCAACATTTTTTTCTCTCTTGCTTTTACTCATCGTTCTGGTTGACCCCATCCTGGGCCAATACGGAGCAAGCTCCCGTAATATTTTAGGAGGGTGCATGGATGGGCCCTCTCAGAATCCTTCCAATTTTAGTGAAATGATAAGGTTTCACTTTTGACCCAACAAAGCCACAGTGTATTTAAAAGTACCAAGTCTATGTGTATTTTTAATGGGACTAAATGACATAAATTTGAAGTTTAGCTCCCAGAGGGAATTACTGTAGGGTCTTCGGCTTAGGAAAAACTCTAATGAGACACCTTCGCCGGGCTCACAGAGCTGGCCTGGGCCTGGAGTCGGCCTGGGCCAACGGGAACACATGGAACTTGGGGGCTGGAGACAGACTTGGACGCCTCCATTTTACAGAAGAGCAGAGAAGGGGAGGCCCGAGCGGTGCTGTGCTTCGTCAGGTCAGGCAGGGGCTGGGGCCGAGGGTCTGGGAGGCCAGGGAGAGCTTGTCTCTTGGGCCAGAACTTGTCCTTGTACGAGAACTCCTTCCCTGAAGGCCTCTCAAAGTTCAAAACAAAGCTACCGCCGCAGCCGGGTGAGGATGATGATGACGACAATATGAGCCATAACAGTAATAATTATCAGCGCTTCACGGCACTTACCAAGTAGGGACACTCTTAAACGTCTCAGGTGTCAACCAAATTGACCTGCGCAGCAGCCCTCTGAGTGGACGCTGCTATTCCTGTTGGAAACGTGAGGGGACAGGGACACCGCGTTGCTGGGCCCATGTCCCTAGAGCTAGTGAATGGCGGGCGGTGACCTGCCAGTCTGTCTTCAGAATCTGCCCCCGTCCACTCTGCCCTGTACTTCGAGCAGCCACTTGGAGGCTGCAGGAGCACCCTGGGGGTGACGAGAGCAGGTATGAGGGGGGCTGAAACAAGAGAAGCGGGTCGCCTCACAGCTCTAGAGCCTGGATGCCAGCCAGCAGGGCTGGCTCCTTCCGAGGTCCGTGGGGGAGAGCCTGCTCCCTTTCCCTCCCGCAGCTTCTCGTGGCTGCTGGCCGTCTTTGCGTTCTTTGCGTAGAAGCATCACCCTGAGCTCTGCCTTCATCTTCAGGTGGCATTTTCCTTGTGTGCCCCTCTGTGTCCAAATGTCCCTTCCTTATAAGGACTCCGGTCATATCAGATGAGGGTCCATTGGATACCCAGTCTGACCTCACTCACCTTAACTAAATTGCATCTTTAATACTTTCTTCCCTAATACGGTCACATTCTGAAGTACTAGAAGTCAGTACTCTCACATGAATTTTGGGGAGACACAACTCACCCCGTAAGAGATGGTGTCCCTGTGAGCCTGTGAAGAGCCATTCAGAGCCTGACTGTGCTCAGCCAAGTGGTTGTGTGCTTGCCCAAAAGGGTGACCCTCAGTGCAAGCCCACACAAGCTCGACTCCCCTCCCCACACCCCGACGTCAGGCCCTTGTCTCTGTCTCCAACTCAGTTGCTCTAGAGACGAGGCGGGCGACAGAAATGAAAGCCTGAGTGAGTACGCGTCAGGTCAGAGATGGAGCGGAGGAAACCCGAGAGCACGCCGCGCCCACAGGGCAGCTGCATCAGCTCCAGCTGTTGTTGCCAACAGGAATGGGGACCGGGCTGCCAGACTTTGGACCTGACTCTGGCGTGCCTCCGGGCTTTGGAGGGTGAAGGACACAGAAATTGGTATTTCGCTGATCTTAAGTTGAGGTCAACTTATTTTAGCTTATCAGACTGAAAGGAGTTTAGCTTCTTCCCCAGCAAGACTACATAAGGAGAGGAAGCTAAAATTCAACTAGCTTGCTTTCCTTCTTCTAGCTTATTATTTTGAAAATTCCAAAACCCAGAAAAGTTTTAAGAATAGTACAATGCATACCAATGCACCTTTATCTACATACAGCAAATGTTTACATTGCGTTCTGTTTGCTTCTCTCTTTCTTAGCTTTTATTTTATTTTTTTGATGAACTATCTGAGAGTTAGTGGGAGGCTTTATGCTCTTGACCCCTAAATTCCTCAGCATGTGTCTCATAAGAACAAGGTTATTCTATGTAACCCCGATGCAGTGGGCAGTCAGGAAATTTATCATCTACACAAAGCTATTATACAATATACAATCCATATTCGATTCTCCCCAATGGTCCTTTATAGCTAGTTTTCCCCCTAAACCCATATCCAGTCCAAGACCAACGTTGCCCTTGGCCGGTAGATGTTCTTCAGTTTCCTTCCATCTCTAGCTGTTCACCCACCTTTTTTGGCTTTCCTGATATAAACGTTTTTAAAAAGTCATTTTTGCAAGATGCCCTTCAACATGGATTTGTCAGAGTTTTTCCAGCCCACTTAGATTTAGGCCAAATATTTTTTCCAAGGCATATGGCTGAGGTCACGTGGGAGCAATGTGCCCGTTCTCTCTGTCGCCAGTAGTAAGTCTGATCATTTGGTTGAGGTAAATCCCTGACGTTTTTCATTGTAAAGGTACCCTTTGCCTTTGTTATTAATCCATAATCCATGAATACTCTGCAAATATCTTCCCCCCCCCCACACTCTTTCACTTAATAGCTTTTGCATCCATCAATAAGTCACTGCCTGAATCAATTATTGATTGATGGTTGTAAAAGACTGATTTTCCTGGTCCCATCATTTTTCTATATTTATTAATTGGGATTCCTCTGTAGAGAAAAGACTTCCCTCTCCTTTTCTTTCTTTTTTAAAAAAAGCCGTTTTAGTACGGACTCCGTTTTATTCGACACGTTATAAGTTGCCCCTGCCATTATTTATTCTGACGCTCAGATTGCTCCGTATTCGGCCGTGGGAATTCCCTCCAGCTGGCTCTGGTGTCCTCCTCTGGGCATGTCCCTGCTAGTTTCTGAGCACTCGGCCCAGGGAGATGTTCCGAACTCCCGCAGCCTTCCCCTGCTCCCGCCTGAAACCTGCCGGTTCTCCAGTGAGCCAAGCCGGTTTGCTTTCAGCTATTTAAATATAGTGGCGTGTGGCCTGGGCTTGGGATAGGAAGATTTTAGAAAGTTCCATTAGCCCCAAGTGGAATGGAATCAACTGTTTAAGCCATACACCTTAACAAGGTGATGATGCAGCCAAGAGCGCGGGTCTGATCGATGAAGGCCATGGAAGTGGAGTGTGGAGATTAGCTTGCCTGCCAGGTTCTCCTTTCGCAGAGGAAGGGCAAAGCCCCCCCTCCCCCCACCCCCCGCCCAGTGTCCCTGGATGGGGTTTAATTCAGCCGAGTCTTTCTTAGACTAGGACTAGTGAAGTGAGCAGCCTTCATCAAGGCAGCTGGAGCCCCGCCTGCCTCGCAGAGGAGGGCACGGCGGGTGTCTTGCAATGAGTCTTGCTTTATTGGACTCATTTGGAAAAGGCTAATTTGTTTCTAAATTATTCATCAAGATCCGGAGCAGCTGGTGGCTGGCTGGGTGTTGTGTGTTTTATGTGAGTTTTAGTAGCTGAAGACCTCCTTGCAGCCTCTGCTGGTGGAGCTGGAGACTAGAAGGCTTCGAGGGGCACACCAAGTTCATGGAGAGCCCAGGGCGAATGGAGCTGCGCCTGTTCTGGCTCCTTCCGGAATGGGATGGACGTCAGTCCTGACACCCATCTCCTACAAATGCAAGGAATTTGCGTTTACTTCCCGAATGATGCCTTTAAATCGTTGAAAGAAGAATGCCAATGGCAGTTTTGGAAGTCTAATTCTTTCAAGCAAAAAGTTCTATGAAGCACGTATTGATTTTTTTTAAAGGAAAACATATTGAAAGGGCTAACGCCCATGCTTTCTAAAAAAATCGATCTCCTCGATTCCAGAAGTAATACAAGCCTCAAGCACTGCAGACACGCATCCCACTGAAAGCTGGGTCACCCCCACGTCTGCCCCCCTTTGGCCCACCCACAAGGTTTTCTCTTACTGTTATGGGTGGGCTTTGAGATGTGAAAACAAAGCGGTCTTTGTGGGACACACGGGTGCCTTGTAGAACGCAGGGACTCCTGGTTATAATCTTAGCTTCGTGAGAAGTGGCAGTTTCAAGGACAGACTAGAGTGCCCGGAGTGACAGTCCTGTGTCGTAGCGCTGGTGCTAGCGATGTGACTTTGGGCAAGTCACTGGCCTTTGGGCCCAGGTTTCTTGCTTGTAAACCGAGCAGGAGAAGAAAAGGGCAGAAGTTCTCTCTCCCAGCTGCTTGTCTCCGGGAAACTTTCACACATAAGCACCACCCAGAGGTTCTGATTTAATGGCTCTTTGTGGAGCCTGGGAATTGGCATTTTAAAAAAGCTCCCAAATTACTGGGCAGTCAGGATTGGGGACCACTGAACTGGGACATTTCAAAGGCCCCTCCTCCCCACCGAGTCTCATGAGACGCTGCTAACCTCCCCGGCTCAGGCCCCAGGCAGCCTGGCTCCGATGCCAGCTGGCCCTCTCCCTCGTTCCGTGACCTCGGGCCTGCTAGGTAACTTCTCTGTGCTTCTGTTTTCTCATCTGTAAAACCGAGATAACAATACCTACCTTCTAGGGCTGTTGGTGTGAGAAGTAATTGGGTTCCAACGTCTCACGTGCTTAGGGTAAACTTTGCCTCCGAGCACACGGGACGGCAGAGTGAGTATCTGTCCTTGATGTGATGGATTCAGAGATCTGTGTCCCTTCCGGTCAGCACAGGGATGTGCTTTGCACGTGCTGGTGGTGACATTTAGTATTAATACAGCTGGTTTTGAGAAGTCGTATGTGCCCTTTCAAAACTCTGAGCATTCCCGTGAGAGCGTCTGGGAAATACTATTTTCCTTTTCTTCACAGATGGGAAAAGGGCAGCCTCTCAGCTGAGACTGAAGTCACACAGTGAACTCAGTGATGCAGCCCTAACGTGCGTGCAGCCGCGGGAGGGGCCTGGGAGGGAGGCCGGCCGGGTGGAACCTGGAGATAACCTTCCTTAGTCACTATTTGTGGGTTACTCAGGTAGAGTGCCCTCACCTGGCCAGCCAGGCTGCCATTCGCCTTGACTCATCCCGCCCACACTCTCCACTAAAGGCACGTTGGTCCCACCTGGCCTGCCCGTTTCCCGTGAGACCCGGCCTGCAGCTCCCCTGGGAGGGTTATTCTGCGGTGGACGTGATACGCAGCAGCATGGAAAGACATGTGCCAAGGTCCTGGGTTTTCCTGCTCTGAGTGCCTTGACCGGTTTCCTGAGTCTCTTTGTCCCAAGTGTCTCATCTGCGAGAGGAAAGGGATGGATTAAGGATCAGATCACACCGAGATTCTGTTTTCCGTCCATGGTCGCAATGTGTGATTTATCACTATCTGACTATTATTTATTTATCTTTCAATACACTCGAAGTGTATGAATTTAAAAAATTAGCTTCCTACTAAAAAAATCCATGATATATAGGCATATGTGTATACATATATTTGTCATAGCTGATAAATTAAAATTATTATTGAAATAAGAAAGGATCTTCTGTGCAGCTCTGGTACCGAATTACGTGCTCCTCCTCACGGCACACGCGCCATGCTTTGCTTTGGGCGCCACTGGACTGAACGGAGAGTGTCAGGCTCTCCTAAGTGTGAAGCTCAGTGGGGAGATTTGAACCCCAATGGAGTGTGGTCACAAAATAGGAAGTGAAAGAATGAGCCATGGGCACCAGTTGCCCTTTCAGGGAGAGTTTGGGGCTCTTAGGGGAGTACAGGCAGCCCTTGGCTGAACCCGGTGGTTGAATTAAGGGACAAGAGAGTGAGGGAGGTCACAATACCACCCGCTCTCTCCCCTGTTTATGTCACCAACCCCGGCGAGGTGGCCCTTCCCTTTCTTTAAACAGGTCCTCCCCGAGGCTAAGAGGCTGTCTCTGCTCCAGTGTGTCAAGACAGAGGTGATTGTGTCCAGACTGGGCTGGCTGAAGCTTGGCTCGCTGATAGCTTTCTCCAGCAGGGAGGAGCATTTCAGTAAGTCAACAAGTGTGTTGACTTGGTCCAGTACGAATTTCAAGCCTAGCTGTTGAATCTTAAGCCAGATCTTCGTGTTGAACCCCGCTTGGCTCCCTTACTACGGAAGCTCCCAATATTTTCAAAGTTTACCTGAGCGCGTGTGTCAAACGTTAGTGGTCTGAGCAGGTTCACACGCATCTCTTGAGTCTCTCAGCAGCCTGGGGTGGGAGGGCAAGGCTTGTTACAGGTGAGTGAGTCAGAGGCCACAGGGAGCACAAGTGAACAGTGGCCATCAGATTTCACAGGTTCCACGGACATGCAGGCCCTCCCCTGCCCTATTGAAGCTTCAGTGATTTTAAAGCAAACCTTATCTGCTGCCCTAGGAAGGCTGACTAGCATCTAATGAAATACATTCATTTACACTGAGATACCTCCCAGGCACTCAGGGTTGAGTGGCAGCCTTTACTGAACAGCATTTCCTATTTAAACAAGTGAATTTAAACGTGGTTTGACTTCACTGCGGTTCGGTTTGGGGGAGGAGGCGGGGAGCGGCCAAGGCTCTTTGGGACACCCATGCAGTTCCCATGGTGCGTGGCTAGGTGGCGCTGCCCCACAGGACTCTCGTGATGAAGGCCCTGTTCAGAATCTATGGCGTTTTGAGAACGTGGCCAGTGCGTCTGAGGCTCTGAGCGTCCAATTGTATATAATTTTAATTAATTTAAACTTGAATTTAGATAGCCGCATGACATGCATTGGCGGCTCAGGCTAAGGCATGGCTGTCACAAATCAAATTGGCTTTCCTTCCCGCCTCCCTTCCCTAACTGTCCCCTTCCACTTCCTGCGCGCCTTGCCCGTCTCGGCCTCTCTCCCCGGACCAGCCACGAGGACAGGGCAAGACAAGAGGGCGAAGTAGACTACGGTGGCGCCGGTAGAGCCAAGGGAGGAGCAATTGCTGCGTGAAAAATGAGTTCGTGGGTGGGGACTGGCACCACGTCCCTTCAACAGGGACCCTCCCTCAATTTGCCCTCATTTCCTTTGGGCATGGGAGGGGCCTTCACTGACGGCTACTGGGGCTGTGTAGCTAAGCAAGTGTCTACTGGCAGCAATAAATGCTGGCATGGAAGATACTGCCAAGGATCGAATACTCGAGCACAGCGAAGCTGTAGCAGACCAGATAGAGGGTCGTACTGTTACTGAAAAACGTAATCTAACTTACAGCGTGGCCGAACCAGGTGGTGGCCAGCATCACTAAAATGTCTTTTTTCCTCCTTTGATCTTCTTACAGGCAGTGTCGATGAAGCAGGGACCGCGCTGCCTACCTGGGCCATAGCCCTGCTCGCAGTATCGCTTTCCCTGCTTTTCATCCTGATAATTGTTCTGATTATAATATTATGCTGCTGTTGTGTCTCCAGGAAGGAAGAAAAAGGTAACTTATTTTTTGTACCTATAGATTTGTATATGTTTTTAATTTTTGGTACAAGCAGTTGAAGTTCATGAACTCATGAGCTCTTTCCAAAAGTGCCCTGGCTTTTGGGGTCCTTGAAAGGAAATGTGTGAAAGTCACAGAGGGGATGAACTTTCTTAAGGAAAGGAGCCCCCCTCGTTGCCCCCCGCAAGAGGACAGGTCCTCATACTTTTGGGAAGGTGATGAAGTGGTGCCTTTATCACCAAAGACACTGACTGTTTGATTTTTTGTGCTCCTTTGCAAGGATATAAGGCTATTGTGAGCTGTCATTTAGGTGCTGTGTTTCTTTCTAGGGTAATACCTACATATCTGGGCACATTAAAAGATTGTTTCCTATTTTGTAGAATTCCAAATCTTCCTTTGTCAGTGAATGTTGATGTAGTGGTAGAGAGAAGAAAAAAAAGGCCTCCTGTGAACCAAAGTAGTACACATAAAATTAATAAAAGTAATTACACATTTCTTCTGAATGAGGTCTTTTGAGATACTTCGAGACACATGAAGGCAGTGGCCTCGTTTGGGGGTCCGGCTCCACACGATGCGGGGCTTGGTGTAGAGTTTGGCTGTTCGTGACATCAGAAACCATCGCTTCTTCGGCATGTGGGGGGCGCCGGGCTTTCCAAGTGCTGAAGAGTGTGTTCGTCCTTATCTTTGTCTCATAAAACCTTCAACTACTTTTATCTGAATATGTCCTACAATGAAATTCGTTATCTTACAAGTCAGAATTTCGATGTTAGTTTACTTGCATTTTTGATTTTATTAACACTAGCTGTTGTTCAGTGAGCACTTTCTACGTGTGTGCCAAGCATCGTGTGAAGTAAATTTTTTACGTGAAAAATCTCTCTCAGTGAGACATTGTGTGCGAAGAGCGTGCTCCAGCCTTAGTGCGGCTAACGGTCTAGGCTCAGCTCTTGTGTAGAGTTGGTTTGTGATTGGGACCTTGATTCTGTGATACAACTTTATTCCCTAGGACACAAAAAATGAAAGGCTGTGAACTCCCGCTGACCCAGATCTGATGGGACTTTGCTTTTCCCTGGGAGTCACCCTCTATGCCCCAGATGGATTACTCAAATAAAATAGGCTGCAATGGAAATGGAGCTATTGGGTAACTTACATTTTAATCCGGAAGTGACTGGGATCACTCAGCGCTGGCAGATGAGTGTTTTCCACGCCGGCCGCTGTGGCAGAGTGGGAGAACCTCCTGGCTGTTCGGATTCCCCTTCTTACGGGCTTTTGTCTGCTCCGCACTCGCCTGGTAGGAAGGCTGGCGGTGCCCGGGCCCCACAGGGTGCGCAGAAGCGCGATTCCCTGATTCTTAGTGTCCTCGTTCACCAAACCGGAATAAGTGCTGTCCTATAGGTTGGTTTGTGAGAATTCAACAAACCAATATATTAGGCGCTTCTGTGAGCCACTCTAGAATTGATGTTTTTTTAAAACTTAGATTAAAAAAAACCCACGTAAGAGTGAGCTGTTTTGTAACAGGTGCTGACAAGGGCCTGTGAGAGCCTCCTTCCAAGGCCCGCCCCCAGCGGTGTCCCTCACAGTGGATGTGACACTTCACTCTGACGTGATGTAAAGGAGCCAGTCAAGTCCTGGGTTTCCCCATGATAATCATTTCCGTGCTTATAAATATTTACATCAAGTTTTTTTCAAAAGTATTTTCCGACATTCTGCTTTGCTGGTGCCTGGAGAATTCCCGGTGCTTTGCCTGGTTATCTGGGGGAGGCGGGAGGGCAGTGGGGGACCCCACCCAGCGGGCCTGCGGGCCTCGGGGCCACGGCCGCTGAGGCAGGGGGACCGAGTGTCCGTCTCCTGCAGCCGTCCTGATGGGAACACCAGCGGCACTCCCTTTGTACCAGGGGGGGCCCAGACAATCTCTCTCCTTCAAATGAGGGCCCGTCCGAGGTTCCGTTTGGGGCGTGAATCAGCAGACGTTATCAGAACTGAAAATAGGTGAGAATGTTATCTTAAAAAAACAAAAGGAAAGTGGTTGCTTTTTATATCTCATAAAACTTCATGACTAGAAGGCCCAGACAGGGCAGCAGAGCTGCAAACAACAGTGGCGTCAGAGGGACGGAGGGGACAGCTGTGTGGCTCGGTTACTCCCCCCATCAAGTTCTGCATTTCCTCCCGTCCAAGGGCCCGTTGAGTGAAAACCTTAGCAATTTAGCGACAGCCTTTGGGGGAGGGTGGACGCAACGGCATGAAGTCGTACCTTTGGGACATAGTCATTGAACATGTATCTTAGAATTACAAGCATACAGGGCTTAAGCCATGTAATTCCTCATCTGTTAAAAATATGGCAATGCTGATTAGGTGGTGTCTCCTCCAGCTTGTTAAAAGTACGATCACACTAACACCTACCTCTTGGGCTGTTGGAAAGATTAAATGAGATAACGCCTCGCACAGGCTGGCATGCGGCTGGTACACGGCAAGGAAGTACTGAGTGAATGGCAGCAGGTGTGGGGACGCAGAGCGCCCCCTCAGGGTCAATGGGTGTCTTTGTAACCTTGCCGGTCCCATTCAGGGTTCCCTAAGTCCTTCTTAGGGACCTACCATATTTCAGGTACTCTGGGCTGATACATATTTATGATAGTAAGTAGCGAATTCTACCTTCCTTATGCTTAGAAGTCATTTGATAATTCTGTGTGGCAGAACTTAATACCTCCTGGGTCACCAATACTCAGTAATGTATTAAAATCAAGGGGGGCGTCTATAAAAATTGATGAGATTTTATTTTCAGAATACATGTCTTGAGTTTGCTAATGTATTTTTTTTTTCCAGAATCCAGTTACCAAAGTGAAATAAGGTAAGTTAACATCACATGTATTTTCTGAAAACTAAAGCAAATGAAAACCAAACACCACCAACACCACGCTCACACACACGCCCCCCACATAACTGGAGGATTTTAGGATTATGTTACTTAAAACAAAGTGCTGAAAGGGGGCAGCTCTGAAAGATACCTGTGCCGTCGCAAACTCGCGTGGCACCGTTACCTGCAGACTGCCCTGGGCGGGCTGTTACGTCTATGTTTGACTGTTCCTGGCTCACTTGGGAAAATTGAGATTTTATGGTTGGTGCCTGGCATTTGCAGCTCTTTCCACAAGAGGACACTATGCACCATGACTCTTGTCCCTCCTGCTTTGAGTCAAGGCTGGGGACTTGAGGATCATGTCAAGGGTGTTTGAGAACCAAGCAGAGGTCCTGCTGGAATTTCTGGGGCGGTGGAAAACGGAGAGGCTAGCTGGGTGGGTCAAGGCAGGGGGCGCTGACCAGGCAGGCAAATGAGGCAGGATCATGGCTTGTGCGTGGGAGAGGGGAGGGGAAGCTGCAAGCACTTTTAAGGTAACCGCCAAGGACTTTACAATAATACCGTAACCAACTTGCAATTGTTTGCAATATTTACGTAATTATAAAGGTACTAAGGGGAGGGATTGTTAGACGGCCATGGATTTGTGGGGGTATTGTAACAAAACTGCATCTAGTTGTCAGTAGTTAATGAGATACTTGTTGAAGAGCTACGATTGTCAAATAGCTTTAGGCTACATATGGTGAATGAAGATGTGTATGACTGAGCATGGGAAAATCTACCCGTTCTCTCTGGGACCCTACTCCCTCCCTGGGGAGGGAGTGTTGTGAGAGAGGTGGCCGCCCCATTCCTGAGGCCTCCACACAATGGCAACCTGAAGATACACCTCCTTTGGGGCTGGACTTAGGGCAAGAGGCCAGGAAGGTAAAGAGACCCTGATCTTCAGTCTGGCGTTTCCCTGGGGGGCCACCCCTAGCAGGACGGCAGCCTGGACTCTTCGGGTCACCGTGGCTGACTGTGCAGCATCTGTCACTTCTAGTCACGGGGACCTTAGGTAATTTCAGTCATAGCACAGTGATCGGCGGCGAGGCAGGGCCACGGGAGGAGAATCATTGTACAAAAACAGCAACAGCAACAAACACGGCCACGGTAGCAATGCTCACAGCTCATAAGTTCTGGGGGACTGACACCCGAGCCAGGCACTGTCCTACCCCAGGTAGATGGAGGTTTCTTCTCACTTAATTCTCACCGTGATTTTATGAGGCTGTTCTTCCATTTGTAGATGAGGAAAATGAGAGGTACAGAGAGGTTAAGTATTGTGCCAGGTACCTCCTGTCCAGAGAGTGGAGAGGTCAGGACACGAACCAGGCCGCTCTGCTCAGGCCCTGGGCCCTGGTCCGTGGGCGGTTGTTGCACTTAGACATGGGTGTGTCAGGCCAGGGGAGGAAAGCCGGGGCAGTTCCCTGGGACTCCTTTTCCTACCTGCTTTCCCTTCCTCTATGCTCATGCCAGCTGCTAGCAGACATCACAGAAAGAAAACAGTCCATAGCTTTCTATAAAATCAATGCATGTTTATTAAAGAAAAATTAAAAAACAAAGATAGGTATAAGACATAATTTTAAAGTTACCCATAATTCTCTTGTCCAGAAGAAATTATTGTGATCTAAGTGTGTGTATACTTACACTGGTAGGTTCACATAGATACACACACACAGGTATTTGGTGAAATTTGAATTATAAAAAATGTTATTTTATAGCTTGCTCCTCTCACTTGACATTTTTCCGAGGATGATTTCTGCTAACAAATCCTTCCGTATGACATTTGTGTTTCTTTTGCTTAATAAAGTGTCTTACTGAAATATACTGTAAGTACAGAAGTACACAAATCATAGGTGTATAGCTTGATTGATGTCCCCAAAGCCTACGCGCCTGGCCTTGAATGCCGCATGCGGAACTGGGGCACTCCCAGCTCCCCACCCCCCGGCCCCGCCCCATCGCTGCCTTCCCTTCCTCAAAGGCCTTCTGACACCCATCCCTGCACCTGCGGAGACTGGACTCCTAGAAACTTCATGTAAATGACATACTCTGTGTCCTCACTCATGTGGGTCTCCCTGAGCCTCCCACGGTGAGACAGACTGTCCTGCTGACGATAGGTGGAGATCGTTTATTATTACATAATGCTACATTTGAGCAGACATGCAATTTATTTTTTCCATCTTATTTAAGTGGGGATTTGGGTACTTGTCAGGTTGCATTCATGATGAATTCCGCTGCACTGAGCTTTCTAATGTCTTTTGGTGACGTGCGCACCATGCATTCTGTTGGGTTTGTAGCTGTGTGTGCAAAGTGGGCCATAAGGCAGGCATGGTTCAGCTTTAGCTGATTCTGCACGCAGTTTTCTAAAGTAGATGTGGTAGCTACTCTTCTAGCAGCAGTGCATGGGGGTTTTCACCTACGGTTGGTTCTCCAGGTGGCATGGGATTCCACCGCAGAGATGCATTTATTTTGCTAGTTCCCTGTGGTGGGACACTGAGGTTGCTGGCAGTTTTTGCTATGGTAACTAGCTCATGAAGGGACATTCTTTCAAGTAGATCTTTGCAGGTATCTTAGATTATTTCCCTGTAATAAATCCTTAGTGGTCAAGCATGAACATTGAAAAATCTTTGGATACCTGTTGCCACACTTCCTGTCCTTGGGAAGCTGCACTGACTTTTTTGCTTTATGTTAGAGGTTGCATACTCTTTCTATAAAGGGTCAGATAGTGAGTATTTTTGGTTTTGTGGGCTGCACGCTCTCATTCACAGCTACTCAGATCTGCTGTTGTACCATGAAAGCAGCTGTAGGCAACACGGAATCAGACAGGTGTGGCTGGGCTTCAATGAAGCTTTATTTGTAAAAACGGGCGGTGGGCCGGATTTGGCCTGAGGGTGGTAGCCTGCCAGTGCCGCTTGATTCGGTCACTGGTTTCTGGGAGTTGAGTACTGACCGGGGAGTGGAGTCCATGGACCGGCCTCTCAGGATGAAGCGCCATCTCTCGCCATCACGGGAGTGTGTGAGCGCGCAGGCCGTCTGCCCAGCCGCAAGGGGGGCTGGGAGTGTCCGGCCCGAGCTTCACCGCCCCCCAGAGCCAGCGACCGAGCTGTGGCTCGTGGTCAGTTCATGTGGGAGGATGCTCTGGGCAGAGCAGTGGGAACGAAACATCCAGCGCCATTAACGCTTGGATTTTAAAAATGGTCTCATTTTAGGAAATCTGCAAATGTGAGGACAACCAATGAAACTCTTGAGCCAAAATTGAAAAGCGGAAATGAAAACTATGGATACAGTTTGGATGAGCAGAGGACCGCACGTGAGTGGACGGGTGGGGCGGAAAAAGACCAGGAATGCTGGGAGCAGGGAGGGGGAGGGTGGGTGGGTTGGGGGTCTCGCCAAACCCCAGCTCCTCCTCCAGGCAGGCGGTGTGGCCGGGGCTGGTCCTCCTTCCTGGGCGATTTTTAGAAGGAGAAATTCCAGAACTGGAAATATTCTAGGATTAGGCTCACGGTAAAAGTCACCTAATTTGTTTAAAATGTAAAAATAAAGTGATGTGCAAACTTGAGTGTTTTTACAAATAAATTTTTTTTCATGATTTCTCTTTCTTTGAAGCCTTCTACCTCACCGTTTGGGAGGAGGCGTTTTGACACAGAGCGGGGGCTGCCTCCCCCAGGGCGTCAGCCACCTTCGAGCGAAACTGAAACTGGCTAGGACTCTGTTCCTGCTCACCTGTACTGGGCGTGGGGGGGTGTTGGCAGGTGCAGCCGGTGTTAAAGAGTCTTTTTGTGGCATCTCACTGTCCTACCTTGAGAGGACACAGCCCTCATGGGAGCACTTCTTAGAAGGCTCTGTCACTAGTGAGAGGCAGGGGTAGGATTTGAAGCGAGGTCCTTATTTAAGGCCCCAAAATTACTCCCTTGCAGGAGTTGGATACCTGGCTCTAATAAATTGTCTGGCAAAACACATTCTACAGCAGGATTTTTAGTTAATCGATTCTTGCTGAGAGGCCTGAGAACCATTTTTTGGGGGGACTAAAATTAGAACAGTCCTCAGAGGCCCGTTCTTTTCACGTTGCCCTGGCCGCCGCCCCTGCACGGTCCAGACTGCCAGCTGCAGACGCGCACGGCTTCCACAAAGCATCGGCTGCTCCCTTTGATAATCCGATCTCAGCTTCTTGCAAAATTCCCTGTGAGCGAATATTTATTCATGCACACTGGGAGCCATTAATCAAGTAGCTTGACCAGGAGCATGGCCCAGACCCAACCTCTCTGCTTCTTTTTTTGGCCCATCTGCCCTGTTTGCTGATTTTCCCTGGTCAGCAGTGAAAACTGTGGATTCATCTTGCTCTGGATGAGACGGACGTGTCAAGAAAGGAACTGATTTTGAGTCTGTTTACCGTATTTTTGTTTCATTAGAAAACCCATGTTCTAAAAGTGTGTAACCTCAAGGGAACTTTAAATAAAAACAGTCAGTTTATGGTTAAGGATTATTTTATGCCAGGGGTGCTATATTGAAATGAATGCCCTTCTTTATGTATCAGAATCGTTAGACTGTGTTGCTTGGTTTTTGTCACGTGTAACACTGACGTCATTCTTCTGTTGCAGAGGCCGCCTCTCTCCCTCCAAAGCCCCGCGACGTCAGTGTTCCTGAACAGCAGAGCGGTGGGCAAGCTCAGCAGGTGATTGAGACTGTTTCCCCACTTTTGGACTTTTTTTTCTTTTGTCATTTAAAAACCCTTGCCTTGTGGTTTTAGGTGAATCGTGGAAGAACGTGGCTTTTGCTCACCTTCAGGTCAACTGATCGTCCTGGAGGGAACTGGGCCAGGGCATCTCTTGTCCTTTGTCGTGGGTTTAGGGGGAAAGACCAGGAGTTTTAATTGGGGCTCGTAGATCTCAGGTGTCTGTTAGACATCCCTGTAGGGGTGTCGGGTGTGTTGTGGGACGCACAAGCCTGGGGCTCCTCGGGGGAGGCCCACATGCAGACACTGCTGGCGGTCAGGCAGATGCAGATGGGCGTCGTCCTTCTAAAGGGAGTCCGCTTAAAGGAAACAGTCAGCGAGGGCCCGTGAGTCCCCAGGAGGTGGGTTGTCTGACAGAGTCTGTGTGGTTGTCACACATGAACGAATTAAGAGTTTACATGCAGAAAATATGATTCTTTTTATCCAAAATCACATCAGGCAAAATCGATGCCACCAGCACCATTTTCTGACCTGTGGAAGTACAGCTGTAACTGAGAAGAACATTTTTATTATATCATCCCGGAAGCAGGTTTCCGCCGGTGCGCTGGATGCTGCCCCCGGCTCTGTTCTGCGGAGGAGTCCCCCGTCGCCTGTGGTCCTATTCAGAGACGCGCCTTCACAACCGCCCACCCCACCCAAACCCCCTACTCTCCCTGTGCGTGGACATTCATGAGCTGCCGGGCAGCTCCAGGCTGCAATAGTCCTCCCCACAGTTGGGATTCAGCTGAGTCCATGCATCTTGGCCGTGACATGGGCCTCGCAGGCCTTCGGGAGAAGGGACGCTCTGACAGATGTTCAGCCGTGTGTCGGGAGGACCTCAGGGATGCTATTAGTGGCAGCCAAGGCAGCCAGGCAGGAAGACATACAAGGGCTCTGGGGCACAAAAGAAGATGGGCCTACGTGACAGATTGTGAGTTTGAGCCACTTTCTCAGGCTGGGTGTCAGGGAAATGGTGAGGCACGGTTCTTCCCGTCCACGCTGCTGTCTTGTGATGCATTGAATCTGGTGCTGGGAGCGATAATTGCAGAGATGCAATGGGCCCCCTTTTGAAGGGCTGGCCTCTTGACTAAGAGGAGGCTGGGGAAAGGGACTCGCCACCAGCCAGGCTGTGAAGACTGTCGCCTGCCAACCCCACGACTGGACCTGAGTGGGGGCGGTCGTGGAGTGATGAAGGGTCTCCCTCCCACCCAGCGCCAGGCACAGCCACCCAGGAACACATTTAAGCCAACTGTTATTTCATGGTTTTTTTGTGGTTATCTTTTTCTGCCACATGTCTTTCCAACAGACAAGCCAACGTCTTCAGGTCTGGGGTGGGGGACGGGGCAGGCCGGGAGAAGATTCGGAGAGGATCCTATCAGCTGATTCGCTTTGAAGTATAGATGAGGAGAAAGGGGAACTCTAGATGCGTTTGGAAACAGGAATGGAGAATGACGTTTCAGAGCTCTGAGTGGATGCTTCTTTGGCTTCAAGTGTTGTTTTGAAGATACGCAGGGAGGGAAATTTAAGAAGTTTCTGCTACTTAAACATGGAACCAGCTAAATAATCTATTGGTGGAAAAAGGACAGTGGCCATCCTGCTGGGCCCAGAGGGCTGGCACACACATGCCTGAGCTGGGCGACGTCTTTGTAAGGCCTGCAGGGAGCCGCGCATCTCGGCCCAGAGCTCTGGGTTCCTAAGGAACAGGCAGGGTGCTCAGAAGGGGAGCTGATTTTGCCTGGGCTAGAAACTTTCAAGGGGCTTTTGCCTAGCTGGTTTTTCCTACTTCCCGTGGGGGACTTGGGACGAGCTGTTCTGAAGAGGACCGTCTTTGATCAGGCACCAAGGGGTGCCTGTGAGGGATGGGCCCGGGCACTGTGTGCAGTGCCCATTTGGAGAACTTGGACTTGAGCTGTACTGTGGGCTGTGCTTCTCGTGAAGCCCTTACAGGAAAGGGTCAGGCCTCGGAGCACGGTAGCTCCCTTGTGCTCCCCCGGCCGGAAGAGCGCACGGTCCTCCACTTGGCCGACTGTCCTTTGTGGCCTCTGGGAGGCTCAAGGTCTTGGTCCCCACCTGTGGACCTCCTGGCTCAGTAGAGTTGAGTAGGCGGCCCGAGCACCTGTGTTTTAGACCAACCCGTGGTGGCTCTGCCAGGTGGTGAAGTTTACGCGTCACTGGTTACGTCATAGCAAGATGGAAGTGGGGGGTGGCTGGGATGGAGAGGGGGACGTTGCCCAAGATCAGCTTGTCTAGTTTGTAATTTCACACCGCCCAGTAATTACCATGTGCTCAGTCCCTAGGCAGGCGTGATAACTGTGCTAACTACGTGGGGGAGGGGTTGTGCCAGACCGCTCCGCCCCCCCCTCCCCCGCCCCAGGGTTGACTGCGCCTGCGCTCCTGCTGGGATCACGTGGGCTCCTGCACCGGCAGGGGAGGGTGCAGATGCTGGGCCCCGGAGGGTGTGGCCACAGCCAGCCCGGGGCTGAGCACGGCTCTGCGGGGCAGGCAGTGTTGCTGGGTCACTCTCCCCCTTGCCTTGAACACCACCCCTTCCTGTCCTACCCAGCGTTCCGCACACCTGTGTCCACACACCGGCGTCAGTGCCCCTGCGCCTCTGCGGCCGTGTCCTCATCGCGTGTTATTGGGCGTGATTTTCACTGCATCCTCTGCTGAACAGTTACAGAAACAGGAGCCTGGGATTTTAATGCTGCAGAAAGGGGAGGGAACCCATTCGCCGCTGTGCCGGCTTCCCAGAGCTCTTGCTCCTTCGACATCCTCCCCACGAAGGCCCAGAGCGCCACAGGCCCAGCTGCTGTGGGGAAGATCAAGAAGGGATTTCGAAGGGAACCCCCTTTTTTGGATCCCGAGTTGGGCGTTGACGCTTGCAGTGCTGGCAGTCCTTAGAAAACTTCAGAAGGGGTGAGGGCTTGTCTCTGGGACAGTGGCTTTGGAGACAATCTGTAGTGCTGGAGGTTTGACTGAGGAAGGCAGCTGGCGCGACCTGGAGCTACAGGGGTTGGTGGCTGGCCTCGGTCAGGTCTGTCGGTGGCGCTGGGCCAGGTACCATGGGAAGAGGCCCCTGCCGGCTCCATGGAGGTCGCTCTCTTGCTCACCCCACCCCTCAGCCCACTCCCCGCCGGGTCTCCCTCCGGGGGCTGTGATACTGTTTATCAGGGGCAGAGAGTGGGAGCAGCCCTTGCTCCTGCCACCAAGCGGCAGGAGTGGGGATGTGCTTCCTGTACCTGGATCCCAAAGAATGGCTCCTGTACCTGGAAGTGCACCTAACAGCACAGACATGTTCACCTAATAGCACAGACGTGTTCACCCAGGAGCCCTGCCGCTTTGGCATGGGTCTCAGTGCAGGGAGGCTCCGTGGGTGCTTGTTCAAAGGCAAGCCCCTTCCAGGGCTTTCTGGGTCAGGCTCGTTGGGAAATCGGGCCTAAGAATGGATATTTTTACCACCTGCCCTGTGGGTGATTTGCTTGGAGGAAAATATTTTGTGGCTCAGTGTGAAAACATATGATACGTATAACTGCAGTGCTGTAACTGCAGATCTGTGTCTGGGGGAAACCCGTCTCGTAGGTCTGGGGATTTTCTCATAACTGTGCGTTTGGAATGACTTGGATTTCATGAACCCGCAGCCCTGAGCTTGCCGCCAAGTGCAGGGGAGAATTTGTGATGCTCGTGGGGCGCACTTTTTAAACCCTCCTGGTTTTGGATGGCCCCTAAAGCACCCTGAATTCGGTGAAAATGAAAGAAATGGGATTTTAGGCTGCGGAGACCCCCAGACCAGGCATTAAATTGTAGCAAAATTTAGAAGGTAAAAAAAAAAGAGACCGATTTTCGAAACTGACACATACCACAACAGGACACTTTTCTACCCTGATCATTTCTGTTCTGACCGAGTCTGTGGTTATAATACCGACATTATTTTCCACGAGAATTTCTGTTGGTGAAGTACAGTTAACTCAGGTGTAACCTTCCATAAAGCACACTAGGACAAAACCAATGGATACAACTGGAAATTCTTACCAAAAATTACAGTTGATGAGAAAGGCAAGTGCCTTTTATTTTTATCTGAAGCCATGGGGTTTGGCAATGTTTCGCATCTTGATGAATATTTAAAACGAACAATCCTCCCCCTGCCCACCCCCCACCCCGCCTCCCCTTCTTTCCAGACTTCCATTCACGGTTGGTCCATTTTCGGGTTATTTTAGGCAACACTGTGTCTTTCTTTCCTGTGTCTGTCAGTTTTGGGGGACGAGCACATGGAACAACTTGGAGCCTGGATCAGGTCTTCCCTATTCGTCACTCCCCTGTGGAGATCAATGTAAATAAAGCCTTGATACGTTTAGAAAACAGCTGAGTTGGCGCAGCCAGCAGTGAAAACAAAGGGCAGGCCCAAGAGCAGGACTCCGAGGCATGGCCGGAGCAGAAGCGTGGTCGGAGCAGAAGTGCGGTCTGGCAGCACGTGGTGAGGGAGACCCATCGGCTCCCCAGGCCATGTGACTGCGAGTCAATAAATGGAGACCAGGCGCCAGACTGAGTCTGTCCTTGAGACTTACTGCCATCCCACCGCCGCGTGAATCATTTATGGCGGTCAGTTGCATTATTTAAGACATTAAGTGCAGCCACTGTGCCCTGGAATCTAAGCCGGCCTTCTCAGGACTGGCAGGAAAGCATGTAGCGTGTGTTTTAATGGGGTGATGCTCCTAGGCAGGCCTTGGCGCCTCTGGGGGAATCAGTGGGTTGCATGGGATGACCCTTCAGAGCGAAAATGGCCAAGACCGCCTGCCTCCCTGATAGGAGCCCGATGCGTGATCTACGTGGAGTGGGGCCTTCTATTTGACCCCTCTCCTTTAGAAGATGTGTGTTATTAGGTTAGAAATAATTAATGTTTTCATGCAAAAGCAAGAATTGCCATTGGAAAATTGAAAGGCAAAATAGTGCATCTTTGTAGCAATTTGCCTTCATATAAACAAATATTGATTCTTGGAGTTGGTTGCTCTTTAGGGCCTGAACTTGGGGAGTTTCTAGGGTATGTGTTGAAAATACTCAGGGAAAGGAAGGACATGTGTTAACACTTGTGTTCCTCTCTGCACCTTCATTTTATTTTGTCTGACAGTTTCCTCTTCAGTGTGCCCTGCACGAGGTCTCACCGATTTAATCACCCCTTCCCGCTTTGTTCCCAGGAACCCAGTCACCATCAGCCGGGCCCCACAAGCCGCCCGCAGGTGACCTTGTGCATGGCTGGTCCTAAACAGGTCAGGAACGTGACGTTAGTATAATAAAGATGTCGCGTGTGGCCAATGACTTGCATCGTGACGAGGTCAGCGCTGCTCTCTGCTGTCCCAAGGCCCCAGCTCTGCCTGCATTACAAGTGACGTTGGTATCATCGAAGAGGCTATTTCACAGCAAGAGAAGGACTTGCTTTCTCAACTTCCAAAGCAGAATTCGACTTGTAATGTGTTTCAAGATGTCAGTCAATTCCATCGAGTTACTAAGTACAAGCTGCAACTTCGTCATGCTAATGTGTCTCATCGCTGCACACTCCTGTCTGCTGATCTAATAAATGGTGGATAAGTCTCTGTCCTACTGTGACTTTAAAAATGTTTTTATTATCTTGCATCCTATGAAGATTATATTTATGTATGTTTCATATGTGGGCATTATTGCATATTATCAGTGAAAAAAGAAGACAAAAATTAAGATGTCAGACATCTAAAGTTGCCTGGAAAATCAGAACTCATAGGCTAAAAATAAGATTCAATTCTATTGCTGATGCACACCTGGCGAAATAGCTCATCGTTGGGTATTTACAAGAAGACATTCATTTCTATGGCCCCTCATCAGGCTGCTCTCGTGTTCCCAGGTGACTTGCATGTGGATTATTCTCTGTAGAGGGTGTAGCTCACATACCACAAATGCCAGGATGAAACTGGAAATGAGTAATCTGTTCTTTAATAAATAAATGAGAAAAACACATAAAGCTTGTATTGCCTCTCTGAAATCTTTATTTTTTTAAGTGGTAGTTTATAGGATCATAGTGTTGAGGAATCAGGCACTTTTTTTAATTGAAAAAAATTTTTACATATCATCAAATAGGATTCAGTACTGTAATTTTTCTCATTGTCTTGTTATGTTTAAAATATATTTTATTGATTATGCTATTACAGTTTTCCAATTTTTTTCCCTCCTGTTTATTCCCTTCTGCCCTGTACCCCCTCCTACCAGCGTTCCTCCCACCCTTAGCTCATGTCCATGGGTCCTACATACAAGTTCTTTGGCTTTCCATTTCCTATACTATTCTTAACCTCCCTTTGTCTATTTTGTACCTACTATTAATGCTTCTAATTCCCTATACCTTCCCACCATTCTCCCCCCTCTGCCTCCCCTCTGATCTCTGTTCCTGTGATTTTGTTCCTGTTCTAGTTGTTCGTTTAGTTTGTTTTTGTTTTCTTTTAGGTTGAGTTGTTGATAGTTGTGAGTTTGTTGTCATTTTACTGTTCATAGTTTTTGATCTTCTTTTTCTTAGGTAAGTCCCTTTAACATTTCATATAATAATGGCTTGGTGATGATGAACTCCCTTAGATTTACCTTATCTGGGAAGCACTTTATCTGCCCTTCCATTCTCAATGATAGCTTTGCTGGACAGAGTAACCTTGGATGCTGGTACTTGGCTTTCATGACTTTGAATACTTCTTTCTAGTTCCTTCTTGCCTGCAAGGTTTCTTTTGAGAAATCAGCTGATAGTCGTATGGGAACTTCTTTGTAGATAACGGTCTCCTTTTCTCTTGCTGCTTTTAAGATTCTCTCATCTTTAGTCTTGGGTAATGTAATTATGGTGTGCCTTGGTGTGTGCTTCCTTGGGTCCAACTTCTTTGGGACTCACTGAGCTCCTGTGTCTCCTGGAGGTCTTTCTCCTTGGCCAGATTGGGAAAGTTCTCCATTATTTTATCAAATAAAGTTTTCAATTTCTTGCTCTTCCTTTTCTCCTTCTGGCACCCCTATGATTCGGATGTTGGAATGTTTAAAGTTGTCCTGGAGGTTCCTAAGCCTCTCCTCATTCTTTTGAATTCTTGTTTCTTCATCTGTTCTGGTTGAATGTTTATCTCTTCCTTATGCTTCAAATGGTTGATTTGAGTCCTGATTTCCTTCCCTTTACTGTTAGTTCCCTGTATAGTTTTCTTTATTTCACTTTGCATAACCTTTACTTTTTCCTCCATTTTGCGACCATAATCAACCATTTCTGTGTGCATCCTGATTATCAGTGTTTTGAACTGTGCATCTGATAGGCTGGCTCTCTCTCTGTCACTTTGTTCTATTTTTGGAGCTTTGACCTGTTTGGGCCGTATTTCTTTGGGCACACCTGTTACATTGAAGGGGTGGAACCTTATGTGTTCGCCAGGGTGGGGCAACCCAGGTCGCTGTGTTGTGACGCAGTATGTGGGGTACGGGACCGAGAGGGAACAATGCCGCTTGCTCGGCTCTCGGTGGGTTTTCAGTCACTTCCCCCGCTACCCACAAGCACATTGGGCCCTTTTGGTGCCGATTCCTGGGTGGGTGGGTCTCTCCAACAGACTCTCCTGTGAGGCTGGGAGTTTCTCCCACAGCCGCATCCCCCACAGGTTTTTACCTCCAGAGGTTCTGAGGCTTTCTTTTCCAGCACTGGAACCCTGGGTTGTGCGGTCTGTCTCGCTCCCCAGCTGTTCCTCCCGGTTCGTCTGCACGCAAATGTGGTACCGTCCAGTCTGCCAGCCACCACCTCGCCCTCCTGGTCCTCCAGCTGCCGCCTTGCCATGCGTCCTCTCCGCCCTGGCTGCCCGTCTCTGCCCTTCCTACCAGTCTGGGTGAGTGTTTCTTCTTTAACTCCTTGGTCGTCGGACTTCCATACAGTTTTATTTGTTTGGCCGTCTGGTTATTTTTTGTTTTAAAATTTGCCGTTGTCCTTCTTTTGGTTGCGCGAGGAGGCAAAGTGTATCTACCTACACCTCCATCTTGGCCGGAAGTTGTCTTGTTATTTTTTTAATAGTTAGGTTTTTTTGGGTTTAAAATCCAGTCTGGGTTCATACATTGTATTCAATTACTGTGTCTCTCAAGTCTCTTTTATTTTTCAGTTATAGTTGACATACAATATTATATTACTTTCAGGTGTACAGCATAGTGGTTATATACTTACATACCTTACCAAGTGATCACCCCAATAAGTCTAGTACCCATTCGGTACCACACTTAATTATTACAACATTACAATATGTTGGATTTTACATCCTTGGGACTATTTTATAACTGGCAATTTGTTCTTAATCCCTTTCACCTTTTCCCATCCCCAGGCATTTTCCACGGCACAAACAGGACGTGTCCGTAAACACAAAATCACATCTTCATGTTAGTCTTCGACTACTGTGCATTTGCCTCATTTAAAGTTAACATGAATGTTGTTACTAAGAATGAAATTGCTGCCTTTTCCAAATATATATTTTTTCCCATGGAGATCTTCTCAGTGTGTCTCACCATCCGCCCCATCCCTTTATATTTCACCCGGAGGTGAGGCTGTGGCTTGGCTGAGCTCTGCACTGGTTGGTGCAGATTTCTACACCTCATGCCCTCCCATGCTTTTGCCAAAGTGGAATTTGACTTTTAAAATGGGTTAAGATTTCCATGAATTCCTTCAAGTTCCTAAGTCAAAGGTACAAATTCATGGTGAAAATGTTTCCTTTTATTCAACACTCCTGCTTGCTGGCCCATTAAATGGTAGACAAGTCTATATACAATCATGATTTATAAAACACTTTTATGATCTTAAATCACATGGGGCCCCTACTATGCATGCTCTACTATGAATCAGCAGCTAACTCATGGGCTATTTGCTGGCACATTGGGCTGTGGCAGGTACCCTATCTGTTCTGATTGGTTGGCCCCCATAGAATGTCTATTCTGATTGGTTGGTGCTCACACAATGGCTCGTCTGACCGATCAGTTCCCGTACACCATCTTTTCTGATCACCTGGTATTCCAGCCTTACTGGTTGTCAAATAGTTTGAATATCACCATGGTTTGGGGGATCATGAAAACAAGTCATCTTTTCTAAGGCTGTACCCATAAAGTGAGGGCATTGCTGTCTATTTTCTTTGGAGTAGAACTAAAATGCAAAATTTCAAAAACCCATTACTATTTCAATTTCCTAGGAGCCCATTTTATGGGAAAAAAGTGCCAATGCACGTGCTTAACTGACACTCTTATTTGGTACAATAATTTGCCCCCTGCCAGTGTGATGCTGTCTCCCAACACCATCCGTGAATGGGTACAAGTCAAGGAGAAAGATGAGAAGGTTCAGGAGACCCTCTGGGCAGAGCTGCTCAGTGAGTGACCCTCACGTTCTTCACTTCATTATTCCTTCAACCACCACAGAACTCACATCCCAAGACAAGGCAAACATTGTGTCATTTGTGCCTTTTATAACCTTTACAGAATCTGACATTGTGTAGGTGTTCAGGAAATGTTGGTATCAAACAGATCAATAGTGAGAAAGACAGTATATTAAATTATAACGAATATGTGCCATCTGCTGACTATGTGAATCATATTTTTGTGGATGTTTTACGAGTTGGAGGTGGGGTTGCATGTAGACTATAATTGAACTTCAAGTTCTGAACTCAGGAACACAATGCCAAATGATTTTCATAGAAATTTACCCAACTTAATATGTGCTTCTTGAATCACTCTCTAAATATTTTTATGTCTCTCTGTGGGAAGTTTGCCTGTATCACTGATGAAGAGGTTGTTTAGTAGCTTGTTCCAGAAGTAAGTTTTTCAAAGGATCCCACCAGTTTTTATTTCACCAGAAGTAGATAAGTTCTTTGAACATAACTCTCAGGAGCTGCTGTGTCCAATCCTGTAGCCACATGTGGCTTTTTATAGTTAAGCTAATTGAAATGAAATAAAATGTAAGATTCATTCCCTCAACTGCACAAGCCACGTGCCAAGCGCTCAATAGCCATGTTGGCTACTGGCTACCATATTGGACAGCACAGGTTACAGGTGTCATGGCTGAAGATGGTTCTATTGGACCGCGCCGACCTAGAGCTAGCTACTTGACAACGACCTCGATATGTCCAGGATGGGCTCTTTCACACAAATATGCCTTTCGTGTTTTCTCTTGCTGTTACATTGGTGCCTTCGCCGGTTTCTCTGCAGGCACCCTGCACACGCCAGGGCAGCTTGCAGCTGAAAATGGTGTTTGGCTGATGGGGAAATTCATCTCTCACTTCTGCAATGCAGAGAGGTGACGCGGGCTCCGGGGGACAGGGTGATGGACGTCAGTCCCTCCAAATGTCATGGGCAAGGGTGTTCCTCAGAAGGGTAGGTATGACTCTCTGCTGATGAATGGCTGATGAGGCTGTTGTTATTTCAACAAACATCCCTCAAAGCCCCGTGTCATAAATTCCTAGCCAGGGAGACCATACCTGACCGCTCTTCCAGGGCTCTGGGACCTGGTTACTCTGTCAGATTCTGAGCCTACCCTGTGCATCCAGAAACTTCCATGGGTTACCTAGGAGGGGACTTATGTGGCAATGTCAACACATCGAAGAGAATTAGAGAGCTCTGCTTGGCTCTGACCTTGGAAAAACCGTTTGGGATGTTAAGGCTGGGTTGCCAGTTTCTAGGAGTTTGATGACCTTAAAGGTGAATGGATGGCCCAGAGCATGCAGGAGACGCTGTGCCAGTGTGCGACAGCTGCCATTAAAGTGCTTCTGACGTCCTTGAGCAAACACTCCATCCTGCCCAAAGAGGGAGGATAGTCTTCTCTGTAGAACAGCCAAGAACAAGAAGACTTCAGAGACAGAGAAATAGGTGGGAGGCAGACCAGTAAGGAAGGGTCCGGGGCAGGTATGATAGACAGGAGAGGATGGATGGCTGGTCCAGCTGGCCTGGGGCAGGACCTGCGGGCCTGGGGAGCTGTTACCATCT